GATTTTTTTTTGAACGGATAACACAAGCCGTGCGAACGGATGCAAGTTTTTTTTGAACGGATAACCCAAGCCGCGGGAACGGATGCAAATTTTTTTGAACGGATAACACAAGCCGTGCGAATGGATGCAAGGTTTTTTTGAACGGATAACCCTGGCCGTGCGAACGGATGCAAATTTTTTTGAACGGCTGGTGAACGGCAAGTGAACGGCAAAACGCCTTCGAACGGATAGCCGTTAGTGTACGTTTTCGCATGAGAGGTCACATATGGTTTAAAATTGTAAATAATTGCTATCATCATTATTAAACAAAGCGGGCCAATTTTTATCATAATTTTTGTAAATACTTTTAGTGATTATAGTGAATAAAGGTTTTACATAACTATTAAAAAAAATTATTATTTTTATTATTACTATTACCAATATTATTTAACCCTTTCACACCCGAGATGTTCCTAGCAATTCTCCTTACTGTCTGCCTTGCAATTCTTACGATTTAAGTTTGGAGAACTTAGTATTTCCCAGACTGATTAGGCGTGTAACATTATTGATTTCAACTACAAATGTTTGAAGGTTTATACAGTTCTCACTAACTGTTATTAACTGCTTTGCAGTGATGAGCTATCAGCCTTCATTGAAAGCAAAGGAGCACCAGCACCTGGAATACTAACCTTGACGACAAGTCTCAGCAATGTAAGTTCAAATAAAATTAATGTATGTTGGAACCTCACCTTTGAGCATTGAACTTAGTCTATTTGCAAAAGGTTCTTTATGGGTTTCCATGAGATTTTACATTGTTGATTAAAACACATTTTCATTCATGGGTTTGGATCAAAACTGAAAAGTTTAGCCAATATGTAAGGGGTATATGTGCGTTTTCTATTAATTCAGTGATTTGGAATAAAACTGAAAATATCATGAATCTTTTTTTTTTATATAATTGGAAGAATAGGGCTGGACTGTGAGGTATTTGATGATAAGGTAGATTGGGGGCCTTTATTTTATTTAATTTTTTTATTAATGGGTTGATATGCCTGAAATTGGAGAGGAAAGGGAGCTTTCTTGTCAGGAGGGGGTATATAATTAGTTAATAAAATATTTACTGGTTCACTTGTGGAGGAGCCTACAGCTCACAGACTGCAGTTCAAATGGCTGAATTGATTTTTTTTAATTCTTAACACCCTATTGCCCCTTCATTCCAAGAAACATTTTGCATAAATCTCCAATGTGATAATTAATAGTAGATTGACCACTAGAATTTGTATTTAATTTACAAGATTTGGGACTACATAATTTTAATTTTTTATAGGACCATCTGGGAGACCTAAAAATTGTCAATTTATTATCATTATTTTAATCATTATTATTATTATTATTAGTTTTATCATTCTTGTTATTGTTGTTGATCATATTTAAGGTTTTAGAGGTGTGTCATCAGACAAAAAAGGATTATTGTGAGCTTTTAATGCCAATTAAATGTTGTTTTTTTTTTCTCAGAAAATTCCAGTTTCTCATTTAAATTAGTCAACTTGATTGTTTTTGTTTTCCTCAAAAAATTCAGTTTCTCATTAAATTAGTCAATGTTCTGTATTTTTATGGATATTTATTATAATTCTGATGGCAGCAGTGTTTTTTTTTTCTCAGAAAATGCCAATTTCTCATTTAAATTAGTCAACTTGATTGTCTTTTTCCATCAAAAAATTCAGTTTCTCGTTAAATTAGTCAACTTTCTGTTTTTTTTAATGGATCTCTTATTATTATTCTGATGGCAGCAGTGTTTTTTTTTTATTATTTTTTATTTTATATATCGCAATCAAAAAGCTGTAAGTTGTAATTTTAAACTAAAAGGACAACATTTTGATTTTTATCATAGGATTAAAACCAAAATACCTCTTTTGATAAACATTCCAATGGATAATTACCAGTCAGATAAAATTAATTTCTGTCAGCAATTTTGCTAAATTGATTTTCCCTATGCTGTTCCTGGTAAAATATATCTCATTGTCAATTTATTTGGCTGAGTGTGTGTTTTACACCCAAAAAGACATAATTACTCTGTGAATCTAAGATTATATTATTGTACTTTTTTGTGCTATGATATGTTCATCAATATTAATTGAAAACAATTTCCACCATTTTGCATCAAATTAAATTGAGGTGATTTGTTTGTCATCAGCCTTTCAGACATCTTGGCAAGTATCCAAATCACATGAAAGAACTGGAGCGCCACCTTGAGGTAATCGGCTTGCAGTAAATACTCTCAGTATTAGCACTGTCAGGTGAAAGTTCTATTACAGATCACAGGACAGGGGATTTGTTCAGATATGAAGTAGCAGAAGAAAGGTTTAAAGAACAGCTGAATAATCCCTATATCTGAAGAGAAAAAAGATTTATTGAGAAGTAGGAGAAGAGCTTTGGTACCAAAAAAATCACCCTAGCTATGTAATGGAAGTGTGGAAGGGTTCATCATATTTATTTAATTTTTATTTAATTTTTACTTAACAAGGGTTGTTTTACAATTAATTTTTTACCTTTGGAATCAGTTTTTGTAGGTTTCATGTCAAAGACTCTAGTTAACAAAAAAATCTGTAAATTTTTTTTGAGATGTTTAATTCCGTTTCTATTTTTAAGTATGACATTTGTGTATTTTAGGAGTAAATCCTAATTTTTTGTCTGTTGATTTTTTTTCAAGAATTGTCATGGCAGTTTTTTTTATAATCAATGGAAGACTCTGGACTGTTTTTTAAAGTTCATGATTTATTTTAGTTTTTAAAATCCGACTTAAAACTTTACTCTGATTTCACAGGAAGGACATGTAGATGAACTGGACACTAAGAAGGCCATTGCTGTGTTTCAGAACTTGACTGTGAGTATCAGAAGCCTTCAGGCCATGTAAATTAGCTTAAAATATACACAGCCAAGCCCAGCTGGTTATGAAATGCATTACATAATTATGAGATGGTAATATCTGATTTGCAATTCTCCCATAGAGTTTTTGCTTATCTCCTTGTAGGAAGGAGAATTATATAACCGCCTCCTGGTTAGCTCAATTGGTAGAGCGCCGGACTGTTGTGCGGGAGGTCGAGGGTTCGAGCCCCGGCCAGACCAACACTCAGGGTCTGAAAATAACTGAGGAGAATTTGCTGCCTTTCCATAACATCAAGAAATGGATAGATATTCTAGTCTTCTCGGATAAGGACGAATAAACCGTAGGCCCCGTCTCCTACAGGGTTAGGGGCAGGAGACGTTAATTTCCCACACACGAGATTTCTGTGTGGTGGATGTCCTTCCCTGGGGTGGTATGGGTGGGTTTACTGGGCCCGCAGTAATTGGCGCAAGCTGTTGCGGGTCCCTGTCTGTCGGCGAATCTAATAAATTATTTTATATCGTGATAACGCCTTGGGTTATGAATCCATTCTTTCCCATTACCTGTGTGCTGGATAATGTTTTGAAAATGCCATTGTGAGGACAGGTTACATGTTAATTATGTTTGACAGTTTAATGACCGGGTTAAAGTTCTTCAGGAAACAATTTCAAGACACAAAAGCCAAAACAGAGCATGATCAGGCACAATTTGACAAGACTAAAATCAAAGATTTAATTGGGGCAAACTGGAAATACATCAATAAATGAATCTCTGTGTCAGCATGGAGTTTGGTAATGGAAAATGAGTGAAAGTACTGAAAATATCTTAATGAAGACCCCAATAAAGCACAGTTTGAGAACATATGGGTTTAACTGGTTGGCCATAACTGTTAATTACAGCCAATTTTTTTTTCTGCTTTGGTAATCTGATCTCATGTCACATTGTCACCCTTACCCTTTTGAGAGATTAACCTATAATCACTTAAGTTTTTAATACCATACTTGTCATTGCCAGTATGGCTGTCATTATGGCATTGTTTGATTTATTGAAGACCTACAGAATACTTGTGAATTTGCAGCACTAAAGTTTGTTTGGGACTGAAGTGTCTAGTGTCACGAGACGCTCCACGGTCAATGATGTTGATAATGCGACTTCTGCCTTGTGGCTGTTGCATAAATACAAGCAACTTTCTTCAATTGCAGACCAGCTGCCATGAAACTAGAAAACGGAAAGAAACAGAGTTAGAAATGCTCACAGGAACTATAGAGGGATGGGAAGAAGAGGTAAGTTAAATATAATGTTAAGGAGAAACATTCAATATCATGGCCCTATTTCTTGATGAATTAGAAGACTTTTTTATCTCCCTGTTTGACAAACATCAATTTAGATCAATAGGTATTAATAGCTCTTGCATGTAATGAAATGGATCCATTTAACATATTAATTTACACGGGTTATGGTTTTTTTCTTGATGGTTTATGTTTATACTAGGTAGGAATCTTCCATTTTCACTCATTCATGTCCAATATAAATTAAATTCAAACTCTGTGCATTTAAGTGCGTTTTGTGAACCCTTTTGACACACTTGTGTCATATCTTTTGCTAATAAGCCAATTGATAAAAAATCAATTGAAAGGGTTTAATTTTGAGTTCCATTTTAAAGCTCCAGAGAAACTGTAGGACCAAAGGACAAACTTACTATACATGTTTAGTAAGGGAGTGCAATGCATATCAGAGTCACCCAGCAAGGGTTTCATTAAGGGCCAGGCACCGGGCAAATTGACCAGTTGTGAGGACGGCTTTGCCCACCTGATTTGACAGTCTGGAGGAAAGTTTATCTTATAAAGAAGTTCAGTTCAAAGAGTTTTGCCCGCCTGTGAAAACCAGTTGCCCTCCAGCAGAAAACATTAATGAAGCCCCTGCCTCAGTACTGAATAGAGATCACCATTTTTTTAACAATTTTTTTTTGCAGATTTAAAAATCCTCTTAGCATGATTCGGGGCTTGACACTGCCGGTAGTCAACTAGTCACAGACTAGTAGAAATTTATAATTTGAATATATCAACAAAGTTGAAATGGTAAATTAACCACCGTTACGATTATAAAAGCCTTTATTAGTAGAAATTCAGTTATGGTGAGTGGATTTTGGTTTCCACTAGCCAGTTGGCTTAAGTAAAGAAACTGAAATTGTTGTAACATCTAAGTTGTCACTAGCCACTTGGCTAGTGAGTTGAAAAGTTAGTGTCAAACCTTGATGAGTACCTTCAGGGAGCCTTTCATAATCCCAAAATGCTCAGAATTTAAACAAATATTCACTTACTCCTCTCTGCCATACAAATGCTTTGTTAGAAGTTGCATTACTTTTTTCACTATAGAATGTTAACATATTAATGTTTGGCTGGTTTCCACTGATTTTATACACTGGTGTCACTTCAGAGTCTAAGATAATGTACCTACTCCATGCTTAGTTAAACTAATCAGGCCCACATCAAGACCATTTTAATAATTTAAAAACAGTTATATTGACTTTTCAAAATTTATTTTCTAACAAAATTTTTTTTTAGGATATAAGTAAACAAGGAGACCTCATTTTGATGTCACAGTTCCTGATACATGGAGAAAATGGGGTAATGAACAGCATTTTATCTTTCTTGAGTAAGCCTAATAATTGAATGGCTGGGAGTCCAATTATCTCCCAAACTGGATGGCATCAGAACATATACAATATAATTTATTTTAATGTTTTAGTCTCAATTAATCATTGGGCCACAGAATTGTCCAGTTAGGAAATTGATGGATTTTAAGAATATAGAGGACTGCCATATTAGTGAATGTTGTTTGTCTTCACAGTCAATTAACCAATTTCTTCAATTATAACTGCTTATGAATCGGCTCTTTCTGTTGTTCTTGTGGTCTCTTTGAAGACCTTTAATTTTTTTCCTATTTAAACAGCCCACAGGGGAGTTTTAACCACATTTTACAGCCCTTTGGTCTCCATGAATTGATAATGTAATGCAAACTTATACAATATTGAAAATTTACCCTAAATTTTGAATTTGGATGTTACATGCTGATAATGTGTAATCCAATAAGGGTAGTTGACTTGATAGACAATCAACCACAAGAAGCAAACACATTTACCATGTGTGCCAGACTTATTCACAAGTTTACACAGTAGAGCTGTACCTCTAACCTTTTAACATCTTTTTTTTATATAGTGCTTGCATTCACAACATTCTTGCATGTTGTTTCAATACACATTTGAAGTCAACAACTTACTCATTCTTTGTCACCAATTTCCTGTCTTCTTAATTGTGGTTTTCAATTTCAAATGTATTGAATTAAATGTAGCTTTCACTTTGATTGTGTTTTGGGCACATAATTATATGAAAGAGATTTAAATCCACAAATAAATGTCAGGCCAAGTTTAGTAATTGGTAGTATTTTTTTATTAAAACGAGTGAGCCTATTACATCTTCTTGTTGCAAGCAATAGTGACAGTCAAGGAATGCTTGTTATGTTAAAAAGATCAATCTAGGAAACTTGATATGAGATACCTTTTCCAGAATGTTTTCTTTGAGCCCTTGCCTTGTCAGCATGTCATTTGAAATGATAAATTCACTCATCAATACTAATCTTGCAATATCAACAACAGGACCTCACATATTTTGCTTATTTGTGTCACACAGGAGGTCCGAGAGAGATCTTTTCTGCTGTTCCCAAACTGTATGATAATCCTATCAGTAAATGCAAATGCATGTGGCTATAAATTTGAGGTGAGGTTTTACTTGCTGTGGGAAAAAGGTAAATTTTATTCACTCACCTTTGTGCTTGTGTCATTCTCAAGCAGAATAATGATAGTTATGTCACTAATCCCCTTTAGTTTCTTTTGATGTCAAATTTCATCAGCAGATTTATTTTCATTCACAGCACCTAGTCAGGTTGATTAGTGTTCCTTCATTCTTATCACCTGTTATCTTTTCCTGTATTAACTGTTTATTCACCCTAACATCAGTATGCATCTTCTCCATTCCTTTCTCCATACATCAGCAAAGGTGCTGACAAGAAGAATTTGTGATTTAATTTAATTTAATTTAATAATTTCGCCGACCAGCAGAGACACCCCAACAGCTTGCACCAATTACTGCAGGCCCAATAAACCCACCCATCGCACCCCAGGCGAGGACATCCATCACACAGTAATCTCATGCGTGGGAAATTAACGTTTCCTGCCCCTAACCCTACAGGAGACGGGACCTCCATTTATTCATCCCTATCCGAGAAGACTAGAATATCTAACCATTTCTTGATGTTATAGAAAGGTAGCAAATTCTTCTCAATTATTTTAAGACCCTGAGTGTTGGTCCGGCCGGGGCTCGAACCCTCGACCTCCCGCACAACAGTCCAGCCCTCTATCCATTGAGCTAACCGGGAGGCAGTTGAAAACCAGTGAATTTGTCTGAAAACCAGATCTTGTTTAGTTGGGGATCATTTCCTTTATTCTCATGACCTTAATGTGTGATTCAAGGGTGATATTGTAAGGAGAAATTAGATGCTAGTCACCCATAGGAATTAAAAGTCAATATTGCATCAACTAAAAACAAAATTTTGTTGAAGTAGTAATATTAAAAGTTAATTTAAAAGTATATTACTGTTTTCAGAGTAGCTAGCCTTAAAGATATTTAGTTGTTTTCATCTAGGATAATATTAGAAATTTTTTTTTATCTTTTTTGTTCAGAAAAAATATGGACTATCAGACTTGACCATACGTTCATTAGAAGACTCAGAAGGCATTCTGAATGCTTTTGAGATAAAAGGCAAGGGTAATCTCTGAGATGGAATTAAAATGAATAGTCCAGTCTCGTAGAACAGAGTCTTGAAGTTGTTTTGTTGTAGCTATGGTATCTGCTACTCTGGCAACTAGAGTTTGCTTGGTTTGAGTTGTTGTATGTGACATCATGATACTAAAGAACAAGGGCTGCTTGTTGCAGTCATCACGGCCATAGATTGGGAAATGGTGAATTCATAGCAGTATATATCAACCCTTTTTTGTGTCATCGTTATGGATTTTAGACCACAATGAAAGTATTTTAGTGGATGGAAGACACATCTGCAAAGGAAGACTGGACGCTGGCTCTGGGTGGTACATTTTGTGTTTAATTGGTGGCAAAATTCTGAAATTATTAAGTGAATTTTACTGAACATTCAGGGAATTGTGAAAACCTATTGAAGCGGCATCCATCACAAAGTAAACATGAAAGGTAAAACTATTTACAGACCTTATTTGTTGACCTTATAGTCAATGGAGATGTCATGAAGCTTTCTACAAATCATCCACATGAGAAGAATGCCTGGCTTGATGCATTCCAACCGCCAGGGCAAAGTACAAGGGCTCGGCAACACTCAGAGAAATGTAGTGTGACTTCACCATCACCATGGGTGGAGAGAAATCCAGGGTCACTGTCAGAAAGAACTTATTCAAAGTCAAGCCCACCTCGAAGCGACTCAATTGGGTCACCACCAAATTCAGCCACACCCAAGGGCTCTATTAGCACTTCTGGTGTACACTCTCAGGTAAGAATTAATGCTCCTTTGTTGTGTGTCCAGTGTGCTGTACTCTCCAGCCGTTTCTCAAAAATAACTTAACAGGCCCATAAAGTTTTTAAAAGAATACTATAGGACTATTAGCTAAAGAAACAAAGTGGACTGGTTTTGGGGCCAGAATCTTCTTTACAATCCTTTAAATTTTGATTTTAAAATATCTCTTTGGGCCCTTTTAAGTTACCCGGACTTCTGAGAAAAGGGCCCCAGCTCCATTTCATAGTTTTGGTGTGCTGTACTGTCCCACCTTAGTCTGCACAGACTTTTCATAATTCCAAGTTTTTCAAAACAAGTATACTGAATCAGGACTCCCTTTTTATTGGGAACAAGAGTCATCTTGAGAAAGTCTGTTTTTTTAATGCACATCAGTAGTCTTTATGATATGTTTATTATGCTAGATAAAGCAATTCATGTGTTCTTTTTGGCTACTGGAAAAGAAAGAATATGTGCTTTCAAATAGCTTTCAAACCTGAGAACCATTTTTTTTTTTTTTTCAATTTTTAGCAGTGATGTTGCAGCAGTCATATGTTTTGAAGTCTAGGTCGTAGAAAGTGAAAAATTTTAGCAATGTGTAGCTGTTTTCACTTAACGCTCAGTCTTTAATACGTCTTTATTGTGCTTTTTTTTATGCGAAGTCTTCTAGTGATGGTTCCAAGTTCCGTTCTGTTTCAACGTCACATTCAGTAGCTACTGATCTGACTGCATTCAGCTCAGCCCCTCACAGTCCAAACAGGAAAGGACGCTGGGATTTCTCAAGGCTTAGACCCACTCCACCTCTGAGGCCAGCATATGCACTGATTGCTAAAGAGGTAATATTAAGAAACAAAAAGGGATTTAACTCAGTAAGAAGTCAGTAATAGTCAATTTTACAGTTGCTTGCTTGTTTGCTTGCCAAGCCTTTGAACAGGAGTGAGGCTAAGGGTGACCTTGTTATGATAGAAATATTACTGCTTTTCAAGTGCAAATTGCTTTGTTATCATGTTAACTGAGATACTGGTTTCTCACAACAATGTCACTTTCAGCCTCACTCCAAATCAGAGGCATGACAACCAAGTATACAGCTGTGAAATGGCCAATTGTCCCTTCAACCTTTTCAAGGGGAGAATTTCAAACCTTTTATAAAAGACGGGAACTTTTTGCAAATTTTTCATAAGTACACAGAGCTCCATTGTATCTCTGCCTTACCAAATGTGACAAATTTTCAAGTAAAAACACTCTAATACAGGGTTTGTTAAAGAAAAGGTAATATGGTCAAAGTTCGATAAAAGTACTGTTTAAGTTTTCATTCTTCACAAATTGTTGTGGGATGGGCACTGTTGTTTGCCTATGGTCTCCCTTATGACATGTTTAACTGTTTTCACCTTTTTAGTTATTTCATGGCATACTTTATTTTTTTGCCCCTTAAGTTTTAGTTGTACAATTCTGAAATATTATAATATTTTTTTGACAAGCAAGGAGTGATCTCACAGGAAGACTGCAATGTTTGCAATTGTAGAATAGAAGCCTAAAAGAATTCAGGCTTCACCAGGATTCAAGCTTGTACCTCTTAGATACCAGTTGGGGGCTACTTCCAATTGAACCACAAAGCCATATTTTGGGAGTGAGGCAAATTTTAGAAGGTTCTTCATTCCTGTAGAGGAATTTGTTAACAACTTGTAATAAAGTAAATTCTTAATTCTTTTTTGCAAAGGATACATCCACAGCACATCGATCTATGAGGGGCTTGCTTTACCCATCAAGAAAGAAACAAGGTTTGTCATGGACTTCGATGATGGAATGTACAGCTTATCTCACACTCTCCCACATTTATGACTGGTTTTCTTCCTGAAACTTTACAACTCTTCTACACTTATTCAAATTATGTTCTTTAAAAATTCCTTTTTAAAGTTCACAATAAATGTGTAATTTATCTCAGGTTAAAGATTAAAATCTTATAAACCAAGGCAAACTTTTTACACCCTACCATAATGAATCTATGGTCACCTGTGGTGAAAATTCTACACCTAGTCTATTATGTTAGTCTAGGATCGGCAAATGACTCAATCTTAAAGGAGTATTAATACTATTTATTGGAAAACACTCCCTTTATTAAAAATAAGCTTGGGTTGCATTTACAGGAGAAATATACTAGATTCTCATGATGGATGATATTATAGATTAACTACAAACTTAAACATGATATAAAATAATAATTTATGAAAATAGTTTTAAGGGGTAGAAACATGTAACTTACGCTAACACCCTCCTTAGAAAAGACTCTGTGACTTGGTTCCACATGCATATCTGATATAGTGGGTTTTTATCTTTATTTTATAATCAAAGTTACTATTTATAAGCTGGTTTTCAGCCAGTTACCATGTATGTTTTGACCCTCTGTGTCATACTCATGAGATTAAATGAAAATGTAACATGTGAAATTAAAAATTTGAAAATTTGAACAACTTTTAAATTTGAAAAATGATGTTATTCAATGAATGACACAGGCATACTCGCAGAAAAAGAACCCCAAGTGTTCCCAATGGGAGTCCAACCTACAACTTTCCAATAGTCCATTTTACAGTTGTGTGCTTAGTTGCCAAGCCTTTGGATGGGAGTGAGGCTGAGGGTGACCTTGTTATGATACAAACCTTGCTGCCTTTCAAATGTAAATCACTTTGTTATCATGCTAACTAGATACAGGTCTCTATCATGACAAGGTCACCTTCAGCCTCACTCCAAATCAAAGGCTTGGCAAATAAGTACAGAACTGTAAAATGCTCTATTAGTACTTCGGATGCTCTACTGCGGAGCATTGGGAGCACTCAGAGTTCTCTTTCTTTGTCTTTTTTCTTTTTTCTTTTTCTTTTTTCTTTTTTCTTTTTCTTTTTTCTTTTTTCTTTTTCTTTTTTCTTTTTTCTTTTTCTTTTTTCTCTTTCTTTTTTTTCCTGTGTCATTCACTGAACAACATCACCTTTCACTAAAATGACCAAGCTTCAAACTTATCAGCTTCAACCTTTGAATTTGTTAATTTAATTTTTGAAATGTGTAAACTTATTAAACTTCTGAACTAACATCAGAAACCTATCTCCTCCCGTTCAACCAGTTTCCATCTCAAGGCCAAGTTTCAAAGGTGATGAATAACTTCTCTTGTAGGTTGTCTTACGCTTAATCCTCTTACATCTTTCAAATCTTGCACTTCTGACTGTAAGTAACCTTTTGCTAAAAATAAATTTCTCAAATTGTCTCCAGCTTGATTAGTTTAAGTGTTAATTCTTCCAGTTTTTTAATACTATCAGATGCTTTTTTCCTCCTAAAGTCCTCCTTGAAAATTAAGTAAAAAGGCTATTAAAAGGCTCCTACTGTGTATTCACCGAAGGGGCTTTTCAAGGATCATTCTTCTTTTTTGTTCCAGTTGTCAAATGCAGTTATTTGATAACCATTTTTCCCAAGTGACAAAAAAAAAATTTTCAGCATAGCTACACAAAATTTAAATAATGCATTCAGGGTGATAATGGGTCTTTCAATTAAATATATTAAAAAGCGGAGTTTTAAAATATCTTAAATTACAACTTGGTAGTGACCTTTAGTCTGTTATACAACCAGACTACTCAACTAATTTTGTGGTTTTGATAAAGATGACTCAAAATAGATGATAGGCAACAAAGGGTGTGTTGGACATCAGAAGAAGTACATGTATCAGAATAGTAGCTCTTGTGAAAGGTGTTTCACTCCTAGTGTTTGTTGCGGAAAACATTAATGTTATCAGCAAAATATTTCACAGTGATTATTAAAGGCATGGTGTACACTTATTTTTACTAGCTTCCTAGCTATTTATAGTCTTGGTAATCCTTAACATGTGTTTGATCTCTTTGTGGACTTTAGACTTTGTAGATTAAAATTTCCTCAGTTGATAAATGCAGTTGAGTTACTGGGTCTCTAAAATTTGACTGTGGAAATTCTATAATACTATTGCATAAGCTTAAATTTAATTTTTCTAACGTTTTGTTAAAAGTGAAATCACTATGTCTTCTAAACAGCTGAAGATTTAAGAGACATTAAAGTAAATTGAAGCTAAAAAATCTTTGAACATTGGGAGGATAGTTCCCTGCAATGAGCCCTTCTGTTATGTCATGCTCGTTCCAGTGACATAGTTGATTTTTAAGTAAAAGTTTATTCTTTTTCTTTTGAAGGCCGGTCAAAGAGTGAACTTGATGATGAAAGGACCAACAGTACCTCAGGTAAGCCTTAATTTGTATGACGCTAGTTACCCTGGGCCCATTTGCTTGAGTGGGTACAACTGGGTACAACCGTCATTGTGGAGAAGTACAGTGGTGTATTACCATTATAATATTGAAGTGGCAGATAATGATAGAAAAAAGATCTTAAAGGAGAGCTCCACTAACACAGTACATGGGTTGAACTTGGGAGTAACCAGTGATTGTGTAGTCTGACCACATGGGTTTAAGTAGTCCAGAAAAGGAGATGTTGTCAGTAGCTATAAGTGATGTTTCAACAACAGGAAAGTGACTCTGATGTAGACTTCAGTTTTGTTGGGCATACAACAGTCTGCTAAAAGCAAAATGTCCAATTTTTTTAAAACAATCTTTTTATACTAAGTCATTAACAAGTCAAAGGTTACACAATATCATCACTGTTACTTTTAGGCTTAAAAGATGTTATAACATAATCAAAGTAAAGCGCGTGCTCTGATTGGTCAACTCAGCATCCCCTATTTGCCCATGGGTGTACACTGCTGACGTGAGCAAATGCAAAGACTATTTTTCCATGTGCGCTTGTTTTTTCTGGTCACATAACATTTGATAAATTAAAGGGAACTCTTTTGCTACAATGTATCATATTATGTTATAAAACAAATGGTAAACACCACAGAGTACACTATTTAGTTATGGATGCACTTGGGAGATTTGCTAAGCACTCAAGAAGCTAGAGTCGCTCTCGGCTATCACCTCGCGCGACTCTTACGCTTCTTTTATGCTTAGCAACCTCCTGTGTGCATCCATAACTCAATAGTGTACGCTGTGCTGTTTACCATTTGTCAAATAATGCTTAGGCAACTATTGGATACTATTTATGCCATCAAGAAATATAGAATTATACTTAAAAAAGGCTCGGTTAATTGCTTTTTTCTTTCCTCCTCAGGAAATAGCCGTGTACTAGAAGAAGACATGCTTATTCTACGTGTTGTGGAGTCTTATTGTACAAGTGCAAGAGCACGGCATACTCTAAACAGTAAGTTTTGCATGTTATCATCGTAACTTGACATTTATCACCTCGTAAGTTACTTATTCTTTATCACATTTTGAGTAGTCTTTAGTGTTAATCTCTATTTGCCCAGTGTTAGGACAAAGCATTTTGAGTTCAGCCATTTTACCTCAGAAGCAAATATGAATGTGAATTGCTAGGTATTTCCATGTTCTTTGACTGTTTAGAGAATCTTGTGATCTTAAGGAAGGACTGTTTTATATCTTAACACTTTTAAAAATCTTTGAAATGTGTTCCTTTGTCAAGCTTTGGCTTTTCTGTGACACAACTATGAAGCAGTTAAAATTTACTCTTGATGTAACATGAACTCAATTTGTTTTGTTGCAAACCTTTGCATCGTTATGTACTTAATAAGTAGAAAACAATTATTTGTTTCAGGCAACCTTGCCATTTCACAAGTACATCATCGCGCACATTTAGATCTTAAATAGCCTTTTTTCATCAGCTAATTTTCAGTATCAGGATCAAGAAGACTAACAGGTCAAACCTGTTTTTAGTTCTTTAATGTGATGCTTTTAAAAAATTGACATTGATATTACGCCAAATAGTTGAATTACTATGTTATTTTGGAAGGGGATTTTGATCAGTGTTTTGCTTAAAGGTAATGATGGTCTACATGCTACCATCATTAAATGGGCAGACATAAAAGAATTACCCTTAAATATTTGAAGGGTATCATCAACGTGTCTGCCAAAGCTTCAGACTAATTGACTTCTGTAGGTAAAAAGAGTTTCCCATAAAGCTTTGAAGAAAGAGTCTCCTGCATGTACCAGTTGTAGGAGCCTGTTTGGGGAGAGACTCTATTTTCAAAACCTTTACCCAAGGAGGATTTGAAGGGAGGTTTATAGTGGGAAGAACTGATATATCCCATACAGGTTTCCTTTAATTGTGGACAAAGCACCATATCTTTCTTATTTTATTGTGTAATTTAATTTTTTGGGGGTGTTTAGTTTATATGCACTGTCCAGCTTGACTACTGATTATGGAAATTTAGCTTCTTTGGCATTGTTGCCATAAAAACCTGAGAGAGTAAGGATAGTTGCTGCTGTTAATACCTGTAAAAGTTTTAGTTGGATTTGGCTCTTGATTTGGTCAGCATGGATGCATAAATCAATGAATATTAGAATTGGTCTCATTTAAAGTTGATTGCGAAGCTACAGCTTCTAAGTGTTTAATGCAAAATGAATCATTCAGAAGTGACTTTGCTCTTTTTTTCTCTTCATTATTTTATTGATTTTTATAGCCATGCAATATCTGCCACCTTAGCTCTTTTCTACGATGTGTATGGCACAAATTTTCTTTGTGAAGATTCAGTGTTAGAAGCATGTGTATTATGTTCATGCCACAGCTTTAACAGTACTTTACTTTTCTCCTGTAATCTAGTTGAGAGTTAATAACATGAAATAATTTTGTGTTGTACCATTCTAGTTTTTTCAAACATATACACAAGTGTATTGAAAGTGTGTTGAAAGTGTGTTGTTTCATTAAAAGACCTTTGCACATCAACTTATGTCCACTGTTGTTGGAATTCACGTTGCATCACATTTACATAAGCACATTCTCTTAATTTATTTATTAATGCTTGGATTACGATTTGATCCTTTTTGAAAACTGCACTTGTTATTTTCTGGCACAAAGACATACTTTACATGACTTGTAAATTTTAGATGATTGTTTAAAACTGTGACTACTTTGATCATTCATTTGTCATCTGTCCTAAAGTCAAAATGAAAGAAGCTGAAAGTTTTCTTGCATAAGTAATCCTTTAAATGTGCCCATATTTTTAGCAATTGTGCTTAGCAGTGCATATACTGAAGGTATAACAAATGTTTAATTTTGGAATGAGATTTCATAGCATCATTTGAGACATCTGTATCTTGTTTATGTTCATGACCACATAACAACAATCAGTTGAACTGTCATCACTCAAGATTGCACCTAACAAAATAACTAATATTCGCACTAAGGAATGATAATATTGACAGTTGTTTTATGTGCTAAATTTAATGAAGTTTACTTCATACTAATTATTTAGTCCTCATGAGTACATCTTTTGAAAAATCATTGTGTTTCTAATATGTATTTATGTATATTTGTGTGATTAATGATCAGTAATCTGAGTGGTCTCTAAAGCTCTTAACAATATGACTCAATCAGAGCGTCAATATTACATATCTTTCAAGAAATCACTGTGTTACTTCTGTGTATAACTAATTGTGTAATGAACAGCCACTAATGTGATTAGTTTGTGAAGTTCTTACTTGCTTTAATGTTTGCTAATTTTAACATTCATAATTAAGCATGTGGCCATCAAATGAGATGTTGATGCAGTATGTCCCATTCATAACGACTGCGATTTTTTTTTTCTTTTTTATGAACCTGCTATCTCAGATAGCCAAAGATCATCTGCTAATTTTAAAACAGCTTTTATTTCAACTCAGAAAATGTCATTGTCTAAGTTTTGTTATACCTTCATTATGTGTACCTTAGCAGAGGATGCAAATAAGCCCAAACCAAATGAACTTGCTGGAGGCATTCCTTATGACTCTTCTGAAGAAGATCATGATGAAACTAATGTTTCAAGACGGCCACGAGGTGCCAAGATCTTGGCCCATGGATGCTGCCCAGGACTTGCAAGCAAGAGTAGATTTTATACATGTTAGTCCAGACCCCCCTTAGGGGGTGAAAGGTTGAGACACATCAAATGACTAACTGCTACAAAAGGATAGGATTTTTATAGGGAATCTTTTACTGAAGGATGTAATTGTGTGCTAATGAAGGTTGGGACACGTTTGACCACAAGCTGTGCCAGTGGATCTCTGCAATGCTATGGCGCCACATCAGGCTGTTGCATAATGTCGTGAGAACATTGTATTGTATTTGACTTAGTGAATTTTAGTAAAAACTTTATGGCTGTGGCTGAACTCAGTCATTATGACCAATTGCGTGAATTCAAGTTAGTTTAAATTTGTGTAACTGATTTCATTGATAAAACTCTGATGGAGAGACAGAAACCTTCACAAAAGTCCACATTTCACACAAGGCAAACTGTGGTTGCAAGTTGTTCCCACAGTGTGTTTCAGGTACTGGTTGCAGAGACAGTTTACTTAGAGCAGCTTGTTTCAGAGACCTGTTGCTACAACTTATTGCTCAGTATGTCCCTACCTTTATAAGCACTAAATTGTTACTCATGTACATAACAAAGAGATGGCCCAAAACAATTCTTATGCTGTGTAAATATTTTTTTAAAAAATGCATGTCTTTAGGTAATCCAACAATATTCTTACCACATTTTTCTTTAGAACCTTAAATTTAGCTTTTTCTAATCTATATGCTGGGTATTCATGAAAATGTGATGCACCTTTGACCAATTTAAAGTATATGTGTGAGTTAACTAATGTTACTATATTATCTTTGAAATTTGTGAAAGTCAGTCTCTTTTTTGTCTTTTTTAAGCCTTTCAGTTTTTGTGTCTTCATCTGCCTCATTTTTCGGTCTAGTGTTTTCTTACTTAAGTAGATCCATTCTCTGTTGAATTAAGGAATTATGTTTGACTCTTGTTCTGGATTAATTTCTTTTTTGTGAAATCATTTAACCGGAAATTGATTTTTCTTTTCACATTACAAAGTGTCGAAACTGTAAAGTTAATCCATGAGGCTAAATGTCATCAAGGACCTTTTCAAATGAGGACATTTTGGTATCCAGTTTATCATATTGCCTGCCAAAAAGTATTTCTGTGATGGTATAAAACTGCTTCTAGCAGGTCAGCTTGGCAGAACCTTTTGGTGATGGGGGATAATGAGATTTAGTGGGTCATAAGAACCTCTACAAAATTTTAGGTGCAATTTATAACGAGGAAGTTTCTTATGCAAATTTATCTCATTTCAAACTTGCTTAAATTTACTTCTCGAATTTCTTTTCTGGTTATATGCTTAACTTGTTTGCAGTTGGTCAATTTTTACTCCTTGCTTCACTTCACTTGAAAATTTGAGAACAACGTGAGATTTGAAAAATACATACACGTTTTTAAGATTGGTATAGGTCTGAGAAAAAATTAATACAGAAATTGTAGTCTTCAATCCGGAGGAATGTTGTCGCGTGGTTTCAGTTTTTCTTCCTCATCAATTATAAGAGATGTATAAAATTGCAATGTTTAAGGTAGTAATTATTATTAAGGATTGTACCATATATTTTTTTTAATCTTTACTTTTTATTGGGCTTCGAAAGCTTCTCTTTAATATAGCAAAGCTGAAAGTGTGAGTTTTGGAAAATACCAAAGATATTTCTCTCTTATAATTACTATTTCTTCATATTTATTACATTCCCTAATGAATACATTGTAAATGAGAATCAAATGTGAGAGGCATAATGGAGCCAAGGAAGATTCATACGTATTAAAATAACTGAAGACATATCAAAGGTTATTTTTTAGACTGTTAAACTGCTCTCTATACAAGTAGCATACCTTTTAATGGTTGATTTTACTTTCTTGAACTCTTGCTTGCAGTTCTTATTGTCATTTTCATCTACATGTGCAGTTTCTTAAACTTGTAAAAAATATATTGATAGAACGGAGTCAACCAGGAGACAGATAACTGTACTACTGCTATTACAATGATACAAGAGAATATTTGTTCTCTCAGCCAGTGAATTCTTGTCTTTACTATTGCGTAGGTGTGATTTTGAGAGGAAGCAGGTTAGAAAAACTAAACTGAACATAGCTAACACATATTATAGGCTAACTTTTAACAGTGTAGCTAACCACACCATTGTGGTTAACTTTTCGTTACTCACGGTAAGAGTAGTAGCAGGGTGACGGTGTGACATGCGTACATTTAGAACAAAATATTGCGAGTTCGATTTTGGTTGATGAGCAAAATATGAATTCAGTGATCGAGACGTTGATATTTTTTAGTTCGTGAAATAGTTACCATTACCGCTCAGTGATTTTAGGTGATTTTATTTATTGAAGAGTAATTTATTAGACTTGGTATTGGAATATTAAGTGCCGTGTTACAGATGTTTGTTTGATTCTCAGAAAGAAATGCGAAAACAAATCCATTTCTAAGTATGCACTCACTTATTATAAAGAATGGAGCACCATATAAAAGAAAATATTATTGTCATTTACAATAAAATTTGCAAACAACATCAAATGGATATTATGTTATGGAATATTTCATAAGTAGTTCTTTGTCATTCAGTGTGTTTTTTGAGTTAAGAATTAGGGGGATTTTGTTGAAAAAAATACGTTTCTAATTATGATGTTTTCGAGTTGATGTGTATCGTCATCTCGGCTACTTGATGAGTTGATGCCCATAGTTGTCAGTAAAACCTTGAAGCACAACCAGAAAAATTCACTGGTTGCCTGCTCATACGTGCAAGCGAGAATATTCATCTGAAATATTCAGTGAGCTCTGAGTAGGTGACGTCCAGTTAATTTTTCACACAAGTAACGTTTCATTTGTGTATAGAGCAATTTTCAAGTAAATGTCGAAAGTAATATAAGATTGCATAGGCTTTGCTTTACTTCGATCTGTGTTTGGTCCACAAAACTCGCGCTACTTTTTCATCCAATCATATGCAAAACTTAAACCAGCCACGAATTGGTCGCTTGCGTTTTCCAGCGTTTTCCCGCGCTTTAGTCAGTGTAGATGCTCATTAAAGGATATCCTTTCTTCTGATTGGTCGATGTGAGTACTTTGATTTGGTTATACGACACTCGATCGAAAAACGCTCTATGTACATTTTGGAGAGTTATGAAAGATCGTTGATTGACCATTATTACATCATAACCACTCAACCCCCAGGATTGATGAACTTGTATCTTCTCTATACAGCATTTTACATAAACCAGCAAACAGAATAGGAGAACACATCAGCTAGACAGGGTCACAGCTAGGTTTACGAATTTCTGCGTATCCTCACTCTTCACTGAGTTTACAACGTTTGTTATTTGACATCTGGTTTTTATTTATAACCCAAGCTTAATTTCTCAGTAGTGTAAACGTGCTAATTTGGTATTCGTGATGTATTCGCAGTAAGTGGTAAACTGTAACTATCAATTCTAAAAGATAATTCCTTTTCTTCAACTGAGCTGGTACAATCAAACATCTCTGTTACTTTCTTGTAAAATAAGAATTATGCTAAATTTAATTTTTTTTTATTTTCCATCCTTATTACAAAATTCTTAAATGTGAAAAATTAATGCTATTGAATATTCAGTTTTAACTCAAAATTAATGAAGCGGTAACCACTCCTTAATTCTTTCAACCATTTCTAATTTTAGCGATAACTAAATAAACCTGTACTTTTTCTAAGTTAAAATATACATTTGATACTTATAATAACTATGAATTGAGGGTTTGAAAAGGAAATGGAAGTCCTCTACGCTTGTTAAGGACCTGAATGTTTGTAAAGAGTGTATGTTTGAAACTTTGACCCGACAGTAACATCATCAGGATAAAATTGATTAAATTTCAAATCCTGGGAGAAATGACAAAACAACATAAAATGATAACTAGAATAGAAATTTTCCGATTTTAAATCAATTGTTGCTTTACAGTTCTAAAGTATAATCTAAACCATCAAAATTGCTCGCCTGTCAGCATGACCAAGAACAGTGCATGAGTATGGGTGTTCCACCGTTCATTTCCTAGGTAGTCCAATCCTTCCCGAACTTCCCACCCATCGACCGCCTTCAACATCCAGTTTAAAAGAAGATGGGCTGAAATCAAGAAAATCAAAGAAAAAGTTTAATAGGTAAGCTTTGTGATTATTTGCTGACCGATTAGGTTCAGAAGTGATATGTAGCAATAATTAATAGACGTGGTTTATGTTTATTTGTACCGTCATGGAAACATTCCTGTTCGAAACGGGGTTTTTTTTTTTTTTGGGTCATCCTCGGTGTAAAAACCTGACGAGGTTTTCTTTGTTTCATGAGGTATTGTTTTGATGTACGCTATTGTTTATAATGTTTTATTGTCTTTGTTTTACGTCACTCGTGAGCTTCACAGGTTTTTACACCGAGGATGAGTCTTTTTTTTCCTCACAAAATTTCCTCCTTTGCATAGGTGTATTTGGCCACCTAGCTGGGCTCCAGACTAAGAGGTCTGGGTCTGGCCATGGCTGGGAAATTGGGTTGTTTTGTTTTTTGTTTATTTCGTTTTTGATTTGTTGTTTGTTTTGTTTTGGTTTTTTTTTGGGTGGGGGGAAGGGGGGATAGGCTACTCTCTCACAGTTCCTCTCTCCACTCAAGAGTAGAAATGCCTACTGCAGTTTTTTCCTCTCCCTTATTCCTCCCGAGACATGCTAGGGAAACCTGACAAAATCCGGGGGGTTGCCTGCCACGGATTTTAAGTCTCTTCCTGCTGCAGAAAACCAGAGAGAAGTGGAAGCAGTTATGAGCCACTTGACCTAAAGACTACAGTTAACCCCCCCTCCCTCAGCTTTTATTTAATGTGTTTTTGTTGTTTTCAGGGATGTCGTTGGCGAATTTAACTGTCTTAGAAGAAGAGTGGAAGAACTTCAGCTTGTGAGTTGATAACATCGCATTAAAAACTCGCTAATTTAGAATCGCATATACAAGGATGACTTCATTCTTAGAAGAAATGAAGAAAGGGTTTAGTAAGCACTGAAAATCAACAAAAACACTTTCTTTTAATACTGCTGTTAGACCATTTTCACAATGCAATTTATTTTTTTAGTACGAAACATTGCTCGGACAATACGGCCACTTTCCACAAGTGTACCATTGATTGGAACACATTTTCCATGCGATAATTTCGAGGGTTTCACAAAATTTCTAGACCAATCAGTCAGAAAAGTGGAACAACCAACACACCTTTTGAAAAATTGCTTGAATCTGTCAACATAAATTCATTTTTTCCATTCGTAGGAAACTGAGTCCCTTCGCCAAAGTTTACTCGAAGAGCAAACCGCACGGAAAAAGATGGAGAAATTCATCCGCTGTTCCCTGAAAGGAGTAATTCCAGATGTTACTTGGGAGGATATGGAAAAAAGTTAACACACATTTATCTGTTGCAGTATTTTATAGCTGCACTAATTGCATAAAACGTTTTTAAAATATCTGATTAAAATATACTCAATACTGCACCTAAATTTTTTAACTTTGATCTTTATGGGTGATGCTTCGTTTAACCAGTAAGTTAATATTCTAAAACTGTTATTTCTCTCTTTAAGACGTCAGTCAAAGCTGACACTTCTTCTTTGATAATCTTAGGAAGTTTAGGATAGTTCTTAATTATGTGGTTCTTGTATAGTTTTTACAACATTACATGACATTGGTATTTGCAAAGAATTTCAAGAGTATGTTCTTTATTATAAAGAATAAGTTTTTAAGCAAAAAAATCAACATTTCGTGATCAGTTTTCTACAGCTCATGCGTAGTAAAATTAGTTCTGTCTATCTTAAAATATCTTAATTTGATGTAAATATTTTCGTTATTACTGAGTTGTCTGCATATCTGTGTGGTAGTTACGTTATAGAGGTATCTGTATCTTTAAGCACCAGATGATGATAATATATTACAGATATTTCTCATTCTGTCAAACGGCGCCCTTACATTGGATTACAAATTTAGTAACGGATCCCATACAAACTCACCGGAAATTGAAACCAATTTTTTTCTTCTTTTTTTTCCTCGTTTTTTTTTTTTCCTTAACTGTCATTTTGAATACATGGTCAGAATATGCCGTGTCTGGAAACCAGCCCAAGAATTTGTACAATAACGAAGAATCTAAGCGCTCACCGAGAATACTTGAGATCTTTCTTTCAGAGTTCCGAGCGGTTATTGGGTAATTTTTGGCTTCTATACCTCAAACAAGCTTACCGCGGACCGTAGAGTTCTGCAACATAGACAGCACCCAGTGCCAACTATGAGTTTGTAAATTTTCTTGCATGTCTAATCGAATGCAAGAGCGCTGTTACAATGTTTGCGCGACAACCGGAGAAGTTGTCTCTGTTGTTTTATTCGGGATGATATGTGGTAAACAAGCTTTTTACTTTACCTTCTTGCGTTTCGTTACATATAACGTCAACTCTTATGTTGAATATAAAGTTCACGGGCTTTCTTTTGTTTGTGTGACACAAAACTGAAGGAGGTGTGTGAACCCTTTTAGTCGTGGTTAGTCATGATAAAAGACCCGTTCTAAAAAACGCTGCGATTCAAAAATATCTCTGTCGAAAAATAAAAACTAAAGTTATCACAATGGCAACCCATAGCAAAGGGTTACGTTATCGTAAGCCAGTGAGAAATCGAAGAAAAATCAAGCAAAGTACCCAAAGCGCGGGAACCAAGTCAAAGTGGGTTTCGTTTGGCATCTGATTGGTTCATAACAAGGAGCGATTTTTTTTTTTACCAATTGCAGACCGAAGTAAGGCAAAACCAAAGATATCTCTGATTACTTTCAACACACGATTGAAAATTACTCTATGCCTGTCCTTATTTTGAACTAAAAGGTGATGTAAGGTGTATGTACGTCTCACTTCAGGTAAACAATACAAGCAATACTTTAGCAAACTGGTGTCACTCTGAGACGAAGAATTTTAAAACTGACAGCAGCTTTTGCAAAATCCTCACCTCTGGTAAACAATACGAGCAATACTCCAGACAAAGAATTTTTTCATTATCGACAGCAGCTATTACCGTCTCCTCTGGAAAAAAAAAATTCAATTTTAATTAATTTTTTCAACACCTTATTGATTAGAAAAAAAAAGGCAGCTATCCATATTACTTTTACTTTCATATCGCAACGTTGTTTTAGAACGGTTGTCTACATATCTTTTCACCTCGTTCTGTATCCACTTCTGCGTACTGCTTTAAAAAAACACCTGTCGCTAGTATTGCCAAAAAAAACTGACGTCTTCGACTATAGCGCACTTCAATTAAGTGTCACCAAACTAAAGCTAGAAAAAGAAACGGAGGCAATATCACAAGGGGTCAATGAGAGCGCAAATTGAAAACAAGCAGACTGTATAAAACGCGGGTGATCAACTTGCCAATGGTTTTAGTTTTGCGTTTGATTGGTCGAGAGGGTAGTACGAGTTTTCTCGACCAATCACAAACCGTTGTGAAGTACAGCCAAAGCAATTCCGGATTACTTACGACAATCGGTAGAAAATTGCTCTGACATACGTTAAGGATACAAAAGATTTTTCGTTGGGTGGTCAGAATTTTTCAAAGGTCGAGGGGTTAGGATATCTTTTTGACTCGGTGATCAGAAGTAACAAAGAGAATGAATATGGTACATCTCTGGCAAACTCCCCTGTCCAAAAAACGTTTGAATTTCCATCGTACTTTTATTTATTTTATTATAAGTTTCAAGCAGCGGAAATGGTATCCTTGTATGTCTATGAAAATATTGTAAAACTTTTTCTAACTTAAATACGGAGTTTCCCCAAAGAGACCTTACCTCACCAAAAAGGCATCATTGATTTTGTGTACTTTATGAGGTAATATATCAATCTCTTTCTATCTAGGAAATATTTTAAATGCCATCTTTATCAAAGTATTGTCTCTATTTATTAGCCTAGGAAGAGGGCAAACAGCGGTTTGCTTTATAAGTGAATGGTTTATTATGTAAGATCCTCTGTAATACTTAGAAAATGCGAATTACAGCGTAAAAGGTCATGTGACTAGTGATGATAAGGTACTTTGTATAGTTACCTAACTGGAAAAATACACTTCCTCTTGACTTGATTATTATCTCATTTCTATAGTTATCTAATGTGCTGTGGTTTTTGCGCCTTTTCTATCCTTGTTTTCCTTTCAAACTATTCTCTTGTGTCTCTGATGTGTGACAGTTGGTTTGTAAAAGTTATTTTACGAGAGGCTTTGGGAACATTTTTGAGATTTTTTTAAGGTCTGTATCTCGCACCTTGAAATTGCTACAACCTCTTCTTAACCCCTTTGCGCCTGAACTCTCCCTACTGTTGTCTATACATTTCTCAAGGTGCTGACAAGGAGAATTTCTCTAACGATCAAGGGCCTCTTTAGAGATCATTTCCTGTATTCTCGTGACCTTTTCGTGTGATTCATGGGTGATATTGTAAGGAGAAATTAGATGCCAGTCACTCTTTCGCATTTAAGAGTTTAGAGGAGCTTTAACGCAATAGTGGCATGGAATGATGTTGCGCTCTTTATTGATGTCTTGTTATGTTTTACTGACCTGGCTCCGGTTGCTCAAAGGGCGGATAACGCTATCCAACGGATAAATCGCTATCCAGCGGATAAGTGTTTCCAAAACGTACTGCGCCATCCACCGGATAGAGATTTACCCAGTGTATAGCGTTATCCATCCTTCGAACAACCGGAGCCAGTAGTCTAAGTTGTACATGATACGTTTATTTTTTTCAAACCATCAACGGCAGTTGTTCTAAACATGTCTTTGTATGTGTGTGTATTTTACTCTCTTCAGCAGATTCACCAAAGCCCTCCTTCTTGGCCAAATTGAAAGGCAAGAAAAGCTAACTTGAACTTAAGTGAACGCTTTGGAAGTTTGCAGGGAAAAGCTGCTCGTTTTGTAAATTGGTAAATCTTGTATTGCGTTGAAGTAGCGTGGATTGTTTTAAATCTACATACTTTTTCTTCACTTAACCTCGAGATAGATTTAGGCTTTACTGCTCGGAAGTCTGTATACAAATTCTACAGCCACAATGACAGAACGACAAGTTGGGCGTAACATAGGAATGAAAACTTTTTTCTAGCGGAAAGAGGGAAAGTGAGTGCTTGAGTTTTGCGCAACCGGCCTATAATGCCCTATTCAGACGCACCCAAGTCTTGATTGAGTTAGAAGCAAATCTAGGAAATGACAGCATATCATCATGTACCTAATGAATCACAAACACTTAACTTTAAGATTAAACTCGAGTCTTGAGCTTGTGGTTTTTTTTAGTTAGGAATGGCGCCCTTCGTCATATGGTCACGTAACGCTTGAAAACATTTCAGAGCAAAAACCAAAAAAAGTTACATTAAGTCATACCGTTTCATAGCTCTTACTGGCTACTTTTTAAGCTTAAACAATCATTGTAGAAAAGTCGTATTTTTATATATTTAATGATTTAATAATTTAAGAATGACGAAGAACTGAACTTGAACTAGCCGTTTACTTGAATAAAATTTACCTCATTGAGAAGGCAAATTAATTGTCATGCCTATTTTATTAGACCACTCCCCTTAACTTCTCGTCAGTCAGGAAACTCCTTTTTCCGCCCTCCTTTTCCCGACATTCTTCACGCGCTTCGTACTTGAGGTATGTCATCAAGTCACATGAGAGGCGGGTAGAGGTTTGGGAAAGAGTAACAGTCCTTGTCCATCCATTCGTCCATCCAAACTTTTCAATTTTTTCTATTTGCACCTGGAGGTACTCTTTGTCATGTTTAACCATCTTCTCTCGTTTTTGTTTCAAATTGATTATTCTTACAGTAAACGACTCGAACCCAGTTCACTCTGTGTTTTGATTGTCCGGGTGAGGAGGATCCTGAGGAGGACTGTTGTCGGAAGTAGTCAGTGGCTGACATTTTGACAACCTGAGCGGAAATCATCACAAGTGTTGAAGTCGGCAACCTGACTTTCGCTTAGGCTGTAGAAACGCAAGTCAACACTACCGACAACAGTCCTCCTTATGAATAGAAGGGGAAAGTTTTAAAAGAAACTGTGGTACTGCGCCGATGAGGGATTTTCACAAGATAATATGAACTTACCAACTGAGTTGATTGTGTAAATTAGCCACTTTAGAGAGATTCCAAAGCAGACGTTTCGAGCGTTGGCCTGTGTCAAAGCCAACCTTTCCCTGCTGGAAAGCTCTCATCAAGAAGATCACACTACACGATTAACTTATTATTATTATTTCAGTTTTTATCGTTATTGTTAAAGGTGTTTTAGTGATGTTCGGTGTAGAGAACAGCTTTGTTTTCGGTCATTAATGTGTTGAACCAATCATAAACTGGAACAAACGGGCTGCTCATTTCTGTTTTGATTTTCTTGCCAAAATCACGATGTTAATTTCAATCTCTTCCTTCTCTTAAGGAGAGGTCATTATTCGCTGGAAGGGGGGAGGGGTGTAAAGGATTTTTGTTGTGTTGCGATTAGATTTACCTGATCCCCCCATAAGGCTCTGTTATTTTCTTATGATCTTCTCTCATTGCCCATTAATAATAGTCAATTACCTGCAGTACCCCCTTTATTCTCTGTTGGTCACGACTTATCCTCCCTTTGTTCCCCTGAAAACCATGTATTCCTCCCAAAATTCCCCCACCCACCTCCCCCGAAAAATAATGACTGGTCCCTTAATAGAAAAGGGCCTTGGGAACGAAGTGAGAAAAAGAAGGGTGGAACGATTTTTTTTTTTTTTTAATTTTTTTATGAGCTTATTTAAGTCACGAGAGAGGCCCTAAGATTGGATGGTGGTATCGAAGTCAGTATATAGAAGTGTAAATACGTGCCTCAATCCTGTCAAAGGTGACCCCCTAAAGCTGTCCTTACGTCTGTAAGCATAGATTGTAGAGGGGACTGTCTAGGAAGGTCGGCGAACTTTAAGAAAGTAACTCTTTGTTCAAGTTTATCGCTTGTGACGTCACACGACCGTGCACACAAGAAATCAAGATGGCGTCTTTCCATGGTGGTTGATAGTCATGTTGGCCGTGTAAAACTGTCTTTTATGAAGCCAATAGCGCTAAATTCAGATCGAATTATCGAGAATGCTAAAAAGTGAAATGCCAGGAGACAACTGCTCTGTTGTAGGATGTGGTTCATGCCACCGTTCGAAAGGAATTGGCATCTGGAGGCTGCCTACAGCTAAATGCGAAGGCTACCGAAAATGGCGGGAAGCTTGGCTCAACGAGCTAAAAAAAATACCCTCTACTAACTATGCTGTAAGGTTGTAGCGCATGTCAATATTAATGACGCAACCTTTATTAAAAAGGTTCCCACGAAGTAGCAGTGTGTGAAAAGAAGGAAAGTAAGTGCTTGAGTTTTGCAGTAGTATAGTAGAACCCTCGTGGCTAGAAATGCTTAGGGACTCGAGAAAGGCATTTCGAGTAAGCTGCTAATAATTATTATTAAGAAACGTTCCTCCAGAAAAATTTTGTTTAAAGTTCGAGTCAGTATTTTTAAAATTGAACGACCTTTGCCGCTATACATTGCTAGGGATCTAATTACTCATTAAAATTTAGCGAAATTGACACAGTAGCTTTACGATGGCTTTTGCTTCGCCTAACGAGGTGAGGAATCTCATTTGAATTACAAATAATTTTTGAAATTAGCATTTACATTTGCGTTTGATCTTGCCCGTGGAAAGGGCTTACGACCTACGAGAAATCTCAACGTCTTTTTCAGCTTTGCTTGGGCCAGGAAACATATTATTTCAACCGTGTTATCTTGGATATCGTCCATTTTGTCAAGGTTACCGCGGGTTTTTTCGAAGTTGTTGATCCAAGTGGTTCAAATTTGACGTCGCGGATTTTTGTACCGAGTTACTCGAGGTGAATATCATACCTACTAAGAGATTGTTGGTAGAATTACAGTGTTTGTATCTTTCGTTGCTGCTCCTAAGATCAAATTACAGAGTTAACTTTGAACGGAAGAGTAAATAAGCGATGCACCTTTCAGTGTCAGACAAATCCTTAATGGCATCTGCTAGAACACTTCTTCAGGAACCGCATGACTTTTAGGGCAGCAGCGACAGAATCGTATTTTATTTTTTAACTTGTTGAGAGCCTGATTAGTTATTTCTTTAGTTTTTTTACCCATCCATGAATTGTATAAAGTTATTTTATCTCTGAGCATTTGAAAATTTCAGCAATCTCAAGTGCGCATCTAATTTCTGAACCTCAATGACTGCGTAAAAAAATCTACGCCAAAACGTTTTGACATAGAATTCTTTTCCTGAATATCAAAATTTTTCTTGCCATCCTTCATGCAGAAGCCACAATGGTGGAGCCTCTGGTTATCTCTTAGGTTGTGCATGGCTAGAGTTCGCGCTGAACTCTGCCGGCGCCATGAGAGCTCTGACTTAATTCAGACCGCCTGGCTGTGTCACTGTTATGTGTTCTTGGGCAAGACGCTTTACTCTCGCAGTGCCTCTTTTCACCCAACAGTATAAATGGGTACCAGCTAAGTGTCGGGTAAGCCCGCAAAAATGCTGGAGTGTAACCTTGCGATTGACTGGACTGGCAAAATCGCCTTGTCAGCACTTTAGGAAATGTAGATAGAACAGTATGGAGAATATGCAGACTGATTTAAGGGTGTAACGGGGTTAAATTTCCCTTCGACGTTGGGTGTGACATTACTTTTTGTAATTTTTTCTCTTGCTTTTGCCAAACATTGATTTTAATCCTAAGGATAGAATTCGCACTCGATTCTATTCTAGACATAGAAATTTATTTCCAAAATTGCCGTTAGAGTTAATGGTCATCTGCTTTAGACAGGTTTTCGCTTAATATGACGAAAATTCGTGAAGCCTAATTGTTCCAGCTCTTGTGGCTAGAACCCAAGTAAAATCGTTTCCTCTGGAACATTTGATGATCCATTTTGGTGTAAAGATAACTTTTTGAATTCAATTTAATTGTCGGATAAATATTTTTCGTTCTTATAAATCTACTTCCCTGAATTAATTTTGTAAAATGTATTGTCCTTGGGAATCTTTTATGCTGAAAAAGGTTCATGAAAAAATCACAGTCTAAAGAAACTGTTTGGATATGCACGAAGACGTACAATACTTATTTTCACAATACTTATTTTCCGAAACACAATACTTATTACACACAATACTTATTTTCCGAAACACAGTTTTTGAAAACTGTCTTCTGCCTCCTTTATCATTTTTTAATCTCCTTTCTGCTGTTTCATCCGCAAAATCTACTGACATTTTATCCTGAAAGAGTATCCAAAATATTTATTAAAAATTGTAGTCTCGAGGAACTGTTTGGATATGCACGCGAAAACATTTTTAACTGAACCGTTCTGATTTTTTCTTATTTGGTCGATATTTTGCCGTACGGACTTTTTCCATGGAAACAGTCCTAAGCTTTGTTTTACTGTTTGCAGAAAACCGGCAAATTAAAACTAAATAAGTTTGGTCCAATCGAGTGCCCTATATGTATCTTATTAGACGTTTTGTTGTGTACTATCGCTGAGTACTTTTATGAGTTGTGCCGTATTTTGACGAGCCCGTAGGGCGAGTCAAAATACAAATAACGAGTAAGAATACTCTGCGATACTACACAACAAAACATTTAATAAGTTGTTTATTATCCAACACGCCAAATTGTTATTTCCGTGCGGGCGAATTTCGTGGACATTTATTTAATGGGAGTTTGTGACAGAAGTATGCAAAGCGGAACAGAATTGGCGCGTTGACGTGTTACTTTTTCTATTTTCTTCAATAAATGAAGAAATTTCCGGGTCGTCTAGCTATTTTTCTTCGTTCGATTTGTCTAATAAACAGAGATATAAATTTTCCAGCCATTAATATTCCAACTCTTCGTCGTCATATAAATCATTCAAATTGTCAGCCTTTTTTTTTCGTAACTTCAGTCCAATTCTTCGTTCGCGCGATGCGAGAAAACAACAATAACAATAACATTTATTATTTGTATTGCGCCTTTTCTATAAAATATTCAAAAGCGCATCACAACAGTAATTAATAACTAAAATTATTTATATAGATACTGATAAAATACCAGGATTTCTCCTTTTACTAAAAAATCATATCTTCACCGCGCGCAGTGAAGATACTATTTTTATCTTTCACGTGTGAAGATATTGGTGTGGCCATGGTTACCAACATAATTACCCAATTGCTGTTTCGAAAATGAATAAAAAAAAGTTGTCTTTTATGTGGAAATTTCATCAGTATCTATATAATAAACAGAACATTACATGGCCGCTTGGGGATACGAATTTTATCTTCTCGTGCTGAAAGTATCTCTCAC